TTGAGAGTGTATAAGCCAATGATCGTCAGGGCATAGATAAAAGGAGTATATGTCTACTCCTTTTATCTATGGTCAGAGACAGAGTATTAGCCCTACATCTCTCGACTTTTAAAATATTGTATATACCCAGAAGATGAGGAGGACTATTCCTCCGCACCTTCTACCAAAAAAAGAGGAACATTCCTCTAGTTCCTATCGAGAAGATGAAGAGGAATATTCTTCCTCAACTTCTGGGAATATCCTCCTCAATTTGCTCTTGGGAGGTCATGTACCAGCTTCTTCAAAATCAGAGCGAGAGTCTGCAAGTAAAAACTAGAGACACCTAGCGGTAGTTAGACGAACTGTTACGAATACGAACGTCCATGTTGACACCTGGACCTGACACCATGGTTTTACACGGGTAACGGACCAATGAGGTTCAAGGATTGAGGTAGAAGAAGTAGTATTAATTATTGTAATGAACTAATCAGCTGTTAACCAATTTAATTTTTAACGATTGGTGCAATTAGTGATTGGTACATTGAGTCCGGAGTCGCTGCATCACTGTCAGTGGCAATGAGAGGTTATAAACAAAAACATAACCTCTCTTAGAAGTTTTGAGTAGGTAGTGATTATTAGGTTATTAGTAATTAAAAACCGGCCGTAGGTAAAGTAGTAGGCTACACAACTCGCTAAATAGTGTTAAGAGTAAGACAAAGGTAAAGGTAAGACACTCTCTTTATGCAATCGTTGCGTAAACTACAATTTTTTTACTAGGCTTAAATTTGATCTTTACTCAATGAAATAGGATGACAATTAAGCCTTAGGTCGACTTAATAACTTTAAAAAGAACAGATGTATCACAACCAAATTTGGTATGTCATTAGGGCCTATACTGGTAATAGAGTAAGCTACTTTTTGTGTACATCAGGGGTGCCCACAAGGGGGGGCCGTGACGCAGACTGCGTCATTGAAATTCTTGGGGGGGCTCAAAAAATTCAAATGGGGGGGGGCTAAAGTTAATAGCAACAATGTTCAACGTGACGACAATCCAAAATACATTACGAAGTCGCCAGATAGAAAGTGGATTAATTAATGACAATAGTTATATTATTGAATTAAATTAGTTAAAATAGGATTTTAGGATAGTTTAGGATTCGTGTAGAAAGTTTTTATTTAAGATTAGCAAGACGTTCGCACGGGATGGCTCAACTGCTGTGATAGTTAAAAGATAACGCGTGGTACAGACACGTCCAGCTACACCGCGACTTAGCACAGCAGAACGCTTTGTTGACATAAAGCTCGTTAAAATACAATCAAGTAGCAAGTAGCATAGGCTACAATACTTTACACTATTGTGTAGATACTCGATTACCTGAGTTAATAGGGAGAGGGGGGGAATGAAAAATACGGTTAATCCAATATAGTATAAAAACAGATGACAAACTCATTAAAACGCTGTAAACAGCCATAAACGTCACGATTTACATTTTTATAAACGAAATTCAATATTGCACAATCATTATTATTGTAAATTTCAAATCATTTATCTTGGTTCAGTTGTACAAACGGAAACGTTTAAAATTGTAGCTAACTCAAACTCAACTAATCACTAGCCAAACATTGTATTGCTATAAATAACGTAAATTATTAAAGGAACCTTTAGAAAGTGTTATAAGGTACTGCTCATGATAGACGGATAGGCTACCGATAGGTGCTGTAACACAGCATAGGAATTGATAGATAAGTAATAAAAAATTGTAAAATTATATTGAGAGATAATTAAAACACTCTTAAAAAAGAATGTAACGAGAACAATCTTGTTATTCTCTTTCTTTGTTCTTCTGTTCTTTAATAGGTTTCTCTTCAATTCATACACGAATTCAACAAGTCGCCATATTTAGGTCTACTCATTGGCCAATCACAGCCTTACTAAAGTTACCATGGTTATCACTCAATCACAGTGTACTAAGCATTATATCGTCATCATTCCCTAGAGCTGTTGTATCTGAAATCTGTTGTAACATAGCGCACAGCAGACAGAAGTGTACGGAGCAGACGATTGTTGGCGCAAGCGTTGTTTCCATTTCATTTTCATCAAAGGAGCTGTGATGTTTCTAAAGGGAGGGAGAGGGGATCGTAATATCGAGAAAGACGCTGACAATTCGTTAAGCAGGTTACGAACGCTGTATGGATATTCTGGCAATAAAAAATTCCTTAAATTGAGGTGATTTATGAAACTCTAATTTTATTTATATAGAAAGATAAGTTTTCCAGTCCTGTACAACACTGATTCACGGTCTTTTCCCTGTAATCAAAATTCAAGTACAACTTGATACAAACAGAATCTCCGGTTCCCGACCTGGATGATGGCTAGTTATTTCATTTAATTTACAGTTACATATTAGTACTCGTGATAAATCAAACCCGTTATGTAAGCCAAAGCCACACGGTTATTAATCTCACTTGGTTTTGGATTTGCTTACAAACGTGATCGGAAATGGTTAGGGCCTACACAGTATTCTTAAAGAACATTTATGTAAACATATCAGTGACAGCTAGGAAAAGGAATCTTTATCAAAACAGCTGCTCATAATTTCATACATGACGTGTTCTCATAACAGATTATTAGTATTTCATAAATTAATGACGTATGTAGTAAACATGGAGAAAATAAACTTGAAAAATCACACAAAATTGTGTTTTTGATCGTCCGTTATTTTATTTCCAAAATAGTGAGGCCATATTTTAATGGCTATAAGGACTCTCTCGCCAATCTTGTGGATACAATTAAACCATTAGAATCATAATCGGTACTCTAGTTTTCTTTAGAGTAGGCCATGAGTAGGCTGCATAAAATGCATTCTGGGCCGTGACGACAGACGGACATAAATTGAGATAAGACATGTTTCAACTTCTTCAATGTATAAAACATAAATATCCCAAATTATGTACAATTCTGAGCAATTTTCAGACAAAACTATAACTTTATTGATATAGATTAACTGGGTTTGAATTTTAAATATCTAAAAAAATTATAAAACTTCTTTTATAGTTTTACAAATAGTGCTGGGCGGGGGAATAATGTTTCTAATTTGTTGTGTACATCATTTATGGGGGGGGGCTGTTGCTCAATTGCGGGGGGGGGTTGCGTCATAAGTCTAGGGGGGGATGGGCACCCCTGTGTACATGGTGATCGGATGTTACCAATGGGGGACGGCCTATTAATAGGAGAGCAAGTTGAAAATCTTGAAGGTAATCATAGGAGGTTATGTATTATGTAGGCTACGGTACACAAAATTAAAGGTCTTGTTGAAACTATAAACAATGCTGCAAACCGGAATCAAATGGACAACCGAGTAAAAAATAGCACCCATTAAAAATAGCAGTTTAAACTAAAATTATAACAATTTGCAAAAACTCAAAAAAACTACCTGTACAGCCACCATTTTAATCTTCCACAAAACTATTTTTATAAATTCAAAACAGATTTTTGAATGTACCGGTAGTGAATTGAAATTTGGTTCATAGATGAATAACACAAAGACAAATTTAAAGAAAAATTATTATTTTCATTCCATGTGTAGGCCTAGGCCTATTTGCAAACTTGTGTAGCCTATATTAAAAATCTTAAAACAAAAATAACATAAAAACGACGACGTAAACAATGCTACTGTGGCAGTTTTATTTATACTGTACACTTTTCTGACGATTAATGGTACAGTTACAAATTTAAGAAAATCGGTTCGTAAATAAGGGAGAAAACTTCATTTAAGATACTGTATGCATTGATATTTGCGCTCATTGGCTACAATTAAAACTGCTGATTGTTTAGCTAAAAACAGTGACTTTACCCATAGACCACAGAAATTGTTTTGTACACAGAATCTTAAAAAAATTAGTAGGTAATCTCTCTTATATCTATGAACCGATTTTCTTAAACTTGATATCGTTAGAATTGTAATAAAACTGTCTAATAAAACATTGCTACAGTATTTTTGTTTCCCCAAGTAGTTTTTATGTTACAGAAATAGATTATGGCCGCCATTTTGAAACAACACTTGATGATAAAACAATGTTTCCTCAAAATCGGTCTTTGCGTTAGGTATTCATATATGCACTACATTTCATTTCACTACAAAATGCATTTATAAAAAAATAAATTTGTGGAAAAAAGACATCTGTACACACCTTTCGAGTTTTGGACATTTTGTACGTGACGTACAATAATTTGTCTTTGATTCAGAAATAATACCTAAAAAGGTCAGTAGAGAGTTCAGGGGCACCCTGTATATTTCATAAATTTTAAAATATTTACATTAAATAAAAAACACTTCCTTCTCTTCAGCAGCAAACCCAAATACTCGTTGAACGCAATGTTATTTTTAATTGTGAATAAATCAGACATATTATTAGAAAATATCTGAGAACAAATTCAATCAGGTAAATGAGAATTCACTTAGTCTGCACATATTTGCTGCAACAACAGTAGACTCCCTTTTAACTGGACTACACTTGGCGGAAATGACATCGCTTTATCTGGACAATTTTTATCAGCACATCGGTTTAAACGACTAGATCGGCAGGAAGTGGGCTTTACTCGAAACGACTGTTCTCGTGGGAAAGATTTGAGACCAGTGATCACGTGTCTAAATACAATGCATGCGTGTCTATGTACAATGTATTGGTTTGACCGTTGATATGAATAAATAAATAAATGCTCTCCTAAATTTAAGTCAAATACTGTATTTGCTTAAACAGTATGCATTTAAAATGGGCCGTTTTAACAAGTTTTTGGGGACGTCTATTTAACCGGAAAACCCGTTATACGGACTGTCCTCCGTCCCGAGGAGTCCGGATAAGAGGGAGTCTACTGTACTGTTCTCATCAAAATCTGGGTTTGGAATGGTCCAAAATGTTCAAATTCCATAGGCCTTGATAAGTATAAAATACAATTAAAAACTACTTAGAATGAATTTGTAAAGAGTGGTTTGATAATTTAAAGGGCAAATAAGACTCAATTCAAGGGGGTTTTAATTTTATTCAGTTTAATACTGATAGTCACTGCTAAAATTGTATTCTTTAACAACAAAAATAAAGAGTAACGATAGAAATGACTGGTGTGTAGGCCTACTGTACAAAAACAAGCTTTTTAGTATTTAAAGATTCAAGAAACCTATATTGAGTGGTTGAATTGGTACTCAATGTCATTCTTACTACAGTAGGCTATTGATATAGGGTGGACTATTCCTGTGAAACTACAAGTTTAATTACAGTATCCAAACTACTTAAACGTATTACGTTTGTTTGTTTTGACGAATATTATCGCTTAAAAACACTACAAGCTTTACTGTACCATTTGAACTATTTTTGTATCACAGTTAGACAATAAGTTTGAAATTAGAGTGTTAATAACACTTTTTGGTTAACTATTGCTATTTAACAAATGAGGAAGACATGTTTTCCAAGTATATAACAATGTAGCCTACACTTTTGCAACTGAACAAAATATCTATCCAAAAAATATTCCTCAGGGTTAGTTATTATTAGTACCGTAATTAAAATAATACTATTTTAACTAATATTTGGAATCTATGTAAAATTGTATTGCACTACAGCTAAAACAAACATACACATAATATGTCATAGGGTAAATATGTTTTTATTGCAGTATATGTATTACCGTATCTTACTATTTTTAGGTTGGTCACACTTTTATTGAAATATTTCAGAAAACTATTCACAAATATACAACAGTTCTGTTTTAGTGCACACAATCATTTGTGTGACACAAACAACGCAGCTTAAAGTATGGACAAGAATAAACTAATACAAGAAATAAGTAAACTGCCAATATTAAAAATAAACTATGTGGAAAGGGAAAAGGTAATTTTGTATTTTCAGTTTGTATATTTTTAATTCCTTATTAACTTCCAAATCACTTGGTGCAAGTCCCATGAATTTATGATTTTGTTGTTGTTTAAGTTATAGGACTTTGAAATTTTGTTAGGAAAAAGGGTCATATGTCCACTTTTAAGGCAATACAAATTTTTGTTTCAACTCACCGTAGTTTTCATGAAAATAATTGTTTTATCAAAGCATGTTGAAAAATTTACTTTCAGAAAAGATACCCTTTTATCAGCCCTATACTTTTTCTCCATAACGTAAAAAAAGGTACCTACCTCTGGACGGGACCGCAACATTTGTGAGATATTTTGCTCTCCTTAAACTGAACTTTATTTTGGTTATCTAAATTTCCCCTAGAATGAAGGGAAGTTATTTTTTGGACTAAAGTCTGTTTATAAAGTGAATATTAGAGACCTCTTGTCGTTATGGCGAGATAACATTGAGCAACAAGAGGTACCTTTTCTCAGACCGTGCAGAGGTTAACAAAATTATTTATTACATCCTTTTACAACTTCAATTCAATATTTTAACCAATACTAGCAAGTTCAATGATAAATGAGGTAACTTATAGAAGTTGATAAAAACTCGAGCTTCAATATTTTTTATCTTCATCCCCTATATTGGTCGTACTGAAAATTTTACTTAGCTGACAAGAGGTACGTTTTCAGTTTCCACATCACATAGGCTATATAAAGTTTATTTTAAGTAGGTTTAGGATTACTAAGAAATATGCTTACAAAAGCTAAAAAATACTTTTCAAGGCAGCATTCAAGGCACAAATTAAATTAATTCATTTTGCAATATAAAACACTATTTGAAATATTTTGGTGACTTATATATTTACAAAACAAGATCTATAAAGAGGTGAGGTCATATTTAAAAATACATTGCTCTAAAAGAGTAAAATCAAACTTATAAATACAACAATTTGGTCCGCTAGGTTTGCGAGATTGGCACAAAACAATCAAGTAATGGAATATCAAAAACCCATTGTCATGAATATTGTAAATATCATTTGGAGGGAAACAAGTAAAGTTACAAAAATACATCAATTTAAAATAGGATTCTAAAGAAAAGTATATCTAGGTATTTCTAATTCCTGACAAAAGTTTTTTTACATTTTCATTCAATAACAGCAGATACATATAGATTCCGCTGTAAATATAATATATATAAATATATACGACGGTTGTCTATAAAATAAGGTCAAGATCGACAAGCCAGGCAAGCTAGTCGAAACCTGTGACCATCATCATGTTCCTTGCTTCGTCTACTTCTATTCTAACCAATTTCTATCTATGGGATGATTGTGTTTTGTTATAGTATTTAAAAACATATTCAAAGAAAATTTACATGCCCACCAAGTACCAATCACTGTCATTTGGTGTCCGTAGGAAAGGCCAATCCTCGTTGATTACGGTCGCCGGGTTGCCCGTTTACATATGCACATGCAGAAAAGTGTTTTAACAAAACAAAAAATGCAAAGTGGATTAGGGAGTTGACAGCAACTGTCGGTTTCCATCGATACAGTGATTAAATTTGAGGAAACTTTACTTGCTGACCGGTGTGTTCCAGACTCCCAGGGCTGACATAGTCCTTTTATGGTCTTATACTGTGTTATTGGTTTGACAATCTTTCTCATTCTTTCACAACACACAAAATTCCCTTAATTTCAACCACTGATTCAAACGTTGTGCAAATGTCTAAGACCTCATCCAAACTCCTCTGTTAACTGTCAATGGACTTCAAGAAACACGACTTTGACCTCATTTCAACTAGATTGCTTAGATTTGAAGGGAACGTGGTGGATACCTTAATTTATGGACAGCCTTCGTATATTTTATGATTCCAATGTTATTTAGAAAAAGACTTAAACTGTGATCTGATAATGTAACAATATTCAACTTTATCAACAAATGGCCCTGATTTGATTTGTTGGCTAACTTGAGTCTTTTGGCACTTTGTTTATAAAATATTTAAAGCTTGGCGGTTCAGAAATAACACATTTCAATAATAGTCAATACCACTCATATCTTAGCTTAAGTGTACCTACAATTTATCCTAGATGGTTTGAAACTGGGCCCAGCTGCCCTTGATCACTAAGCTTTTAACGCGTTCGCTGCGGCCCATCAATGGCGGGCATATCCCTGGTGTGGCACAGCGTCGAGCAAGCTCGATTGCCGGGCGATTGGCTTACAAATTTCGGTCTGATGAATAGCAAATTATGTGTGGTGATGTACTGCGTTACGACAAGTCAACGTAGTTCGCTAAAACAGCCACAGATAGCAGCACTGCTTGGAACATAGCCGGTCCCATTGTATTGCCGATTGGAGGGAGAAAGACAACACAACTAGTATATTTCTAAGCCAACAGTCAATTTCTTGCCAAACAGGGATTTTGCGGGAAAATTTACTACCAACCTACACCACAACTAACAGTCACGCACTACACTCTAACGTGGTATAGCTTCGACCGAAGCTAGGCTCACACTGAGCAACAGATTGATGCACTGCAGTGTGGGTTTTGGGTCAGTACTGACCCGGCCGCGTGAGGCTTGCGATAGCCGTACGTGTTAATAAATGGTCCTGGTTAATGAAAAATACACACCTAGGTGGTGTCCCTATCTTATTCGATGATGATAATAAAATCAATGTTATTTACTTTGTTTTGAACCAGTTCTAAATTTAAAATTGACTTTCAAAAGTCTTAATGCCATAATAGAAGCAACGTTAAGAGCATCTTGTGCAATCAACACCCATGATAAATTCCCGCAATTTCGGCAACATTTGTGATTATCTCCATTGATTATGGTAACTATTTTTAAGATATCTCATGATCGAGGCAACAACCGAGATAATCGTTAGCAATCACAGCCAAAATTATATAATTTCTTATAATCCTGGCAACTTGCGTTTTTTTTTCCAAAACGTCAACATTATTGACTGACGTCAATAGCAAATTATTCCAAATCTAAATTTTCCTAGTCCAATACAAAATGTATGTATAAACACAGACTTTTTCTAGCAGTTCATAAGAATTCACAAACAATTTCCTATTTTCCCGATTATAGGTCGGCTGGACACCCATTATTGACTTCACAAAATTTTGATTCAATATCATGTATTCGATTGAGGTCATTGCAAGTGTATCTACGCTTGCAATTTTTAAATTGACAAATGAATATACATAATGCTCAGCCACAGCTTATGAAGTACGACAAAAATGTGTTCCACACGTGCCTAAGACCAGCTCAACAATAGTGATATTAAGTGTCACAGTCGAAGCCATGCTTAAAAAAAATCTAAAATGTTGTCTATTTAAATCTGTAAATAAATTATCTACAGCTAAGTATGAAATACAAAATATACTATTGCTATTTATTTACAAACAAAATTCACTTATTTTACTTGTCATAAAATGTTAATAATATCTTTAACTGTAATATATAAGATTCAATATCAAGATTTCATCCATAAAACTTTACAAAATTACTAAACTAAGGCACATGACTTTACAGTATAAAACATTCTTATAAGTACTGCGATAGGAATGACTTTAAGTAAAAGTGTTTTTTGTTAACCTGATAAAATAGTTTTGTTCAATTAACAATGTATATTTCATCACATGTGATGCTTTAAACAAACAGAATAAAGCAATCAATTTATTTTAAAGCAAACCAAAAAAAAAACTAGAATTAAGTAGAATGCTTTGACAGAGTAGGCGCTTATTCTTATAAGTACCGGTACGCTGGGTTCTTCGAGAATGTTAAACCTCCAAACATTTCACCTCATAAAAAAATAAATCTCTTTAAAAAATCAATAAACTACATAGGCCTAGTAATATATCCTTTGACAAACACAATTTCAAGATAATTAAGTCTTTCTTACCGAGGGTAAAATTGTCAGATCATTCATAAAAAAATAAAAATAGATGATATAAAATTCTCAACACTACAGCAAATCTAACAGTGTAGCTAACGCCATGTACAAAATCACAGATAAAGTATAAATAAAGTAACAATGTAGATATTGAATTGTAAGGTTAATTGAATGGCTAGTAGACTAAGTGTGAACAAATCGGTTTGATCTCGACTCAACAAAGATCTTGCAGACTCACAGAGATTACACAGTAACAATAAGATTTCGTTCATTTTCACCATCTGAATAATTGATCCACAAGGTATGAAAGAGAACAATTAATGAGTAATAAAACTAACCAAACTATACATTATAATTGCACTTATCACATTATTGTAGATAATTCTAGCCTTCTATTTTATGACCATTTTCTTTTCAAACCACAAAACTGAGTTTTGTAATTGGTCAAACTCAATATGGAAGAGATTGGGGCAATTAGAGTCAGACATTTTTGTTTCTCCTACCAAACAACCAAACAACTTCTCCGAATAGTATATAAATACAGATTTCTCTATCCGAAAGTCTGGTCAAAATTCACGAAATACCTTAGAATAAGCGGACCAACGAATCAGCATGTCAAATGATAAGAAGAGGAGATTCGCTTGGTTCAGCAACACAATGGTGACTTTGCTGTCTCGGCATGAGCTACGTGGTCTTGGGCTGAGATAGTGGTTGTACCGTAACCTCTACCACTGTTAGGCTCAGGCCGATCATTGGAGTCGTACACCCTTAGGCTAGTCACTAAGGAGTCTTTACTGAGGTTGATCAAACCCATAGCAGTGTTAAGAAACACATCTTCTATTCCTAAAAGAACATCAAAATCAATATTAATATGAGGAAAACAAAATTTATGAGAGTAGCAAGGGCAGAAGATGGAAATAATGACAATCTTCTAAAAATTAACAGCCACAAATTCCAAAGAGTTAATAATTTCAGATATCTAGGTGTTGTACTATTTGGTATAAATACAGAAGACATATAAATTCAGAAAAGGGTAAATGTAGCAAATAAAAGTTGGTATGCACGTGGAAAACTAATTAATTCAAAGCTGTTATCGAGGAAAACAAAAATTAGAATCTACAAAACAATAATTAGACCAGTACTTTTATATGGAGGGGAAAATTGGATCCTGAGCAAAAACACGGAAAAGAAGAATATAGCCTTTGAGATTAAAGTTCTAAGAGCTATATATGGTCCAGTGTGTGAAGGTGGAGTATGTAGAATCCGCCACAACCAAGAGTTAAAAAAATCATTCCGAGACCCTGATATTGTAGGAGAGGCCAAAAGTAGAAGGCTAAGGTAGGTTGGCCATATCTTGAGGAGAAATGAAGAGAGCTTGTTGAAGAAGGTACTAAGGAGAGATACGAGGGGAAGGAGACCTAAGGCCTAGATAGACTAGTAGTACCAGCTTGAGTACAAGTGGTCATTGCAGTTAACAGTATGAGGAGATTATGTGTACATTGCAAAGAGAGGGAAGAAACATCATCAGATTCTGACAATGTAGAAGATATATAAACCATTGCTTTCTCTGGTTCTTAGGCACTTATCCTGTATGGTTGATTACATAAATTGTCAGAAATAAAAGTAAAGGTTGAACATGGTTAATAAGTTACTGTAAGTCTACTATATTTAGGTTCTGCTGATTTGAGACAAACAGTAACATTATTCCTTCAGAATCATGTTATGCATTGATCAGCGACCTTGTTGGGTTTCATCACTCTTTGTCAGCTAATTAGAACTTCTTTACATTCTTAAAAACATTCAAGTACACATTGCACCCTTTTTTTTATGTCCGACCTTCACATCCTAGGACCCTATAGCCCAGAACCGTTTTACACATTACTTTAGGTTAGTCCTAGAGGGCGTTATATAACTTAGATAAAGGTGATAGCCATAGGTGATTGGCGGGATTTGAACCCAGGACCTCAGACTCTGAAGCCCTGCGCTCTCTCACCAGACCAGCTCGCTCCCTGCCATGTACCCTTAGTAAGACGTTACTACTAAGCAATTTCTGGTAGGCCAACTTATTTATCTACAACTTAAAAGAACTTCACAATACCTAGATCATTAAGTGCTGACACCTCAAAGTACGTTCCTCCAATAGACTGAGAATACTGCATGGCTTCTTCCTTTGTTACTTTACGTTGATGTTCCAAGTCTGTTTTGTTGCCTACAATACACAGAACCAATGGCTCGTCCACATTCCTTTGGAGTTCTGAAAAATGTAAAACATATATTTGATAACTTAATATCTCATAGGCCTACAGTTAACAGCATAGGCTAAGAGAGTGTTGCTAGTGTTGCTAGACTAAGAGAGACTTCCGGTTGAAATGGCGGTGGATGAAGTTGACGAGAACTGTGCTAGCTGTGATAAATTTGTTAAAAAGCGGGTTAAAGCGTTGTTGTGTGAGGGATTCTGTAAAAAGTGGTTTCACGCAAAATGTATCAACCTAGAAGACAAGAAATATCGTATGATAAGTGAGTTAGAAGATTCAGTGATGTGGATGTGTGATGGATGCACAACCAGGTTAGCTAAGATAAGAACACTTGACTTGAGTACAGAGGAACTGATTAACATAAATATTTTAATGAATAAACTCATTATTACTATGGAAGAATTGGCGAAGGATAATGAATCCCTTAATATTAGGTTAAATGCTATTGAGGAAGCTGAAGTTAGGTTAAGGCAAAATGTGACATGCAGACAGCCAGAAGTTTTGACAAGATTGGAAAAAAATGGGGAAGAAGAAGTCTTGAGTCCTGAAGACACACCGAATGGACACACCGAATCTGATGTCAGTGGGAAATCGACTATTGAATCTGAAAATCGAAACAAAAACAGTGATGAGGGAGAGGAAGAGGAAGAAGGCTCTGGAAATCAAAATGGCGAGCTACCTCAACCTAGTACTAGTGGAAAAGAGATCTCGTGCACATTGGTTAGTGTTAGTGAAACTCAACATCTTGAAGCTGCTGTTAACCTAAATTGCAACAAAGGCGACAATCACGAAGAGAACACTAATAAGTGGCAGAAAGTGTCTGCCCATAAACGAGGACGTGGAAATACCTCTGGCATTGAAAATAACCACAACGTCCCTAGCCCTAGCCTGAGGTCAAAGAATGCCCATCTGAAGTCAGGCAAGGAACAAAACAAATCATACAGGGAAGCTGTGATTAAGGGAAGAAAATCTAATCCTGCTAGACAATCTAGGCCCATCATTGGCACTAGTGAGTCTAAGGAAAGTGCAATCTTGAGTGGCGAGAAAAAGGCCTGGTTTCACTTAAGTAAGGTTAAGGCTGGTACAACGGCTGAAGACGTAAGTAAATATATTCATGATTCTTTTCCTAATGTAGATTGCATTGTTGAAAAGCTAGAAACCAAGGGACTACTAAACTGTAGCTTTAAACTTGGAGTTGGTTTTGAACATCGAGACAAACTTCAGGATGGTTCGATGTGGCCTAAGTACGTTACACTGAAACGTTTTTTGTTCAAGAGACCAACCAACAATCACAGACCACTGCAATAACGGAAGGTAATAAGCAGTACTCTAGTCCACACGTTAGTTGCCATAGTTATTCTGAAGATAGGCCTAAGCTTGGGATAGTTCTCATGAATGTCCAATGCATGAGAACAAAGTTCAACTTGATCTCCAACTTTGAAAGTGAGCATATGCCTGCTGTACTAGGAATAAGTGAACATTGGCTAGATTCTGTTGAAATAGACTATTATAAAACCATTGGTAATTTAGTGTATGATAATGGTTTTTTCAGAACTCAACACAAGAATAGTGGTGTATCTCTTTACTTGCATAATGAATTAAATTTTGAACTGCTTAATTTAAATGTCTATTGCTCAGAAATGAACATTGAACTTTGCGGAGTTACACTCATTGATTTCAATATTTCAATTATCTCTGTGTATCGCCCTCCAGCCGGAGACTATGACAGTCCTTTTGGATTTAAATTTTTTTAAGTGTAGCCACTACTGTTGTTTTAAGATAGTCAAGAAGTTTTATTCATTAGTACACAAATTGTAAATGTTATAAATATCAAAATGAAAGGTAATTAATTTGGTTGTGCTAATGGGGTAAAACTTAGAGGATACAAAAATGTTATGAATACCGTGCAACAAAAAAGCAAAGATCCTAAAGCATATTCCTAAAACCTCCTAATCTAATTATGTTCGTCTTTGGACTCAGTTTTAATTGACATCTCTTTTGTGGTATTATTTGTGTAGGCAATACTAATTGTTTTTTATAAGTTCAGTGCGAATTGAAACTGAGTCTGCACTTAACTAACTCCGTTTGGTTAGAGTCATCTGTTATCATAAATATTTCATGTCTGTATGTGTGTGTGTGTGTGTGTGTGTTCCCTAAAAATTGACTGTGAGTAGGTTAGACAAATCTTCCATGTGCTGCCTGATGATTGCTCCATATAGGAGGTGAAACAAATTGTGTATGCAATTTAAATGCCTAATAAACTGTTTTTAAAGCATTTAAGATCATAGTTCCTGATTCCAATTTTATGTGGTTCTAAAAGTAGAAATTCATGATTTACGCTGTCAAATGCTTTTGTTAAATCCAGTAACACTTACAAAATACTCACCCTTTAAATGCGGGTAAAAATCTTAGAACAGCATTAATAGCAGACTTTCCTTGTCCTCCTCTAGAATAGTATTTTTACTTCTAAGAAGGAAGTTAATTGATTGCAAAAAATGTTCTTTAAATTATTATATTGCCGATGGTAGAGAAATTTGTCTGTAATAATTTATATTTGTTGGGCCGATTATTTTGTAGATTGGCATTGTTTAACAGTTGGTCGATGCTTCAAGATGTTAAAAATAACTACCTACTTACTCACGTTGTGAATACATTTGCTCAAAAATGGATTAACGTTCAAACTAGGCTATTTTTAATTTGTTTATTAGGTGAAACTTACAATAAAAAATTATTAGGCCTAGACTACTTCATATTACAGAATTAAGCCTACATCACACATTTTATAATCTGCTTACCTTTGACCCAGGATTTGATTGATGTAAACGTGTAGTAATGTGTAATGTCAAAAACTAAAATGGCTGCATTGGCATTACGATAATACATTGGAGCCATGGATCGGAACCTTTCTTGCCCGGCTGTGTCCCAAACCTGTAAAAACAAAAATCAACATGACAAATCATTGACACTGTCAATAACAGCCTGTACGCTTCAGTGACAAAGTAGGTATAATAATTAGAAGTAGGTAGCCTACAATAATTAAAAGTAGGTACAATAAGTTTTACAACACAGTAGGCCTAAACATTAACTACTAATCCTGCATTTGACCAGGCTAGATTGTGCCACTGTTTAAGAAAGAGCCCTTAATTAATTTTTGCTGTAGTCAATTTATATACAGGACAATACTATATCCTGTCCTGGTACATATCAGCCTGGTATTTCATTTCATTATGTAGTTTAAGCCTAGTATTAAGACCCAGGCTGGTTGCAAACCCATTTTATTCCTTGCAGGAGTTTTTCATAACAAATCATAACTCAATAAAGTAAAAAAATTAATTTAAAGAAGAGATTAATAAAATATATCCCTGCCTACAGGTATGAGTGTGGTTTTTGAGTTTTGTGCTTTTTTCCTGTTTTGTAAATTTTTACATTTTTCCTCCGCATGTTTTACAGTTTTTTTATTTATCTAGGCCTATTTATTTTGCATGGTGTGCTTTATGATGGACTTAAGCTTGTGAGTCAAGAGGAATGGCAACTCTTTTTTGTTAGTATTAGTGACTAACTATTGTAAACAACACTGAACAGCTCGATAAATCTTGAATCTTGGAAAATTGTTAAATTATTTTACTTGCACAGTATTACTAAACAGATCAATGGAAGTAAAATATTCTTATTCTTATGTTAACTTATTCAGAATAAAATATTTTTAAGTTTAAATGTCCCAAACATTACACTAAGCTCCACTATTATCCAAATGTAAATCTATCACAATATTAGTTTAAGTAGATCCAAGTGTACACTACTAGCTTATTTGTACACTAATTTTCTTATGACCATAAATTTGGGGAATATTTTTTGGTTAATTGATTGTTTACCTGTAATTTTATCCTTGTGTCTTCAATATTTATCTTACAAGTGAAGAACGATGCCCCAATAGTAGGACTTATATGATGGCTGAACATCTTCCCAATGTACCGAACAACCATGCTAGTTTTGCCAACACCTAAAAAAATGTAAATGAATTGGTTGGAAATATAAGCTATAGGAAATATGTAATTTTTAAGTAATAAGCCTTGGAAATAAGTCAAGTAACTAAGTAAGTCACCTTATTGACATCCGTTTTCGACACTCTTGAGGTGTAGGCCTATTTGTCAAGCCCAAAGACAAGAAATTGTTGCTCCTAGGAGGTTTTCATAAAGTCTTTAAAATATATAGGCCTAGCCTACAGACAAAAAACTAACACAAACATTTTTACAAAAAATACTGTATGGGACAGGGACAACTAATTACTACTCGGAATACAGCACCTACACCCTAGCCAGCAATGATTAACCATCAATTTCATATAAAACAAAGAGGTTAGCGGCCTCTTTAAACCTAGCATTTGCTCGTCCACATAGGCTATGGACCAATGTGTGTAACGTAACTCAGCAAAGCAAGGGGCGAGCCGGTACAGTGCAAAGGGGAACTGTACTTATTAAAAGTAGCAGCAGCAACCAGGACCCGAACCCACGACATCGCTGCCTTGGTCCCAATCTTTCCCTTACCTAAGGTGGCAACCCTGCAATGACTCGTGAACTTTGATTTGGTTTTTAACATTTAGTTTGAACATTTTAATTAGCCTAGGTTAGGCTATTTTCAATTAAACTTATGCTGTAGGCCCCTAAACAGAAATGTTGCTTTTGGTAAACATGTAGAACCAGTGGGCTTTCACTAATCAAAGGCATATTCAAGGCCTGAATTATTGTTTGTTGTTTTTACAGCTTAAAAATTTGAAGAGTTTATAACATAAATAAAACCGAGGTTTAAACATCAAGTATGATTCCTACTTATCATCTAAAATTGTAGTCTTATAATGAACTATTCAGCGAAATAGCATGTAATACAAGCAAACATTTTTACATAAATTAAGAGTCGTATAATCTGTAAAATAACTCTCAAATTGTTAGCATAACTCCATTGTTTTAAGTTACATAACCCTAAACAATTAAGTACCTTGAGATCCCAAAACCACGACTTTTCCTTCTATTGTCTTCATTGCTTCTTCCTCAATTACTTCAATAAAGATTTAAATTAAAATCCATACATCACTGGTTTGAAATTTGTTATATTGCAAACAATAATTGTATTTATATTGAAATGAATTTACATAACAAACTTAACCTAAGCGTTGTTGACAGATACTCAACCAACCAACAAGACATAGATAGATAAAGTAGGGACAACAAACAAATAAAACAAAACAATTACAATTTGGGTAGATTTTTGATGCAATAACATCACAGCTGACAGCTGTTGTACTTACTTTCTACTGTAGTAGGTTGTCTTAAATTTTTACCATGAAACACTTGATGTAACCATCGCAGCTACCAATGGTTTATTGTAGAACCATCGCAACGAGTACAATAGTACCACGGCCACCTTTAACTACAGGCCGCGGCCTGGTAGAATTGACAACGTCACAAGTGGTGTTGTTTAGTGACAGACGTCCCATAAGATAACATGGCAGACAGGTGACATCAGCTCATTAATTCGCACTTAATTGATTTAAATTTATGAACATAAATTTATCAAAATATTGAAAATAGAACATACAGAATTGAAAACCGAAACAATATGAATTAAAAATCTATATCTGTACAATCAATATTGTCATAGCCCAGTAACCAATCTTTCGTAAATACTGAAATACCATTAGCTGCTTCCAAACAAAACAGCTGTTACAACGCCACTTGCGATGTTGCCACTTCGAAGGCCACGGCCTGGATTTAAAGGCGGCCGTGACAGTACCCACTTCCTCCACCTCCATCTTAACATGACTTAATTATTAAACGTTTATTCCCCTACCTAATAGTTGAAAGTGTCTTTCTAGGAAGGAAAGAGATAATTTTCAGGTTATTTAAATTCATTATTTTAATGGACGGAGTGAGCGAAGCGAGCTAAGCTCTTATACTACACTCCTAGTTTTGTTTTACAAATAATCCTCCTGAAATGTTGAAGCGATCCGCATAAAGTTCAGCACACTCATAGTAACCAACTACGGGAAGGTATAAATCTGAAATGGTACAAATCGGAAGATAGGGCACTTCTCCACTTGAATTTAAATTTGGAAATTTAACATGAGCCTTGTAGTTTATTGGTTGTGCCATGACATTATATTTGCAAGTTTAGATAACAATTAATCGTAAACGAAAGATTCAACATAAGTAAGTCAACGAATCGTCTAAACTAGCAAAATACAGTACAGAACAAAAGGGAAGAACAATCGGATTACTACCGATCGTTGACGATAATCTACAAAATGAATAAGTAATAACAGATAGGTCGAGGGATTTAGGCTAATGCACCATTGACTTCAGATAGGCCTCTCCAAATATCCATTCCGTTTAATTTATCAAAATATACAAGTGACTTTGGATACTGCAAGTAGACATTCCATTTACGTGAAGGTGTCATATAATATTGCCTATCATTTTGCAAAATCGTCCCTTAGGGTATACCTAACAGGTATGCTTTATGACACAAAATTCGTTAGTTACTGTGGGATAAGGATGTTAAGTTTATTATGAGACAGGCCCCACGATTTAAGACAATCATCATTATAGTTTTTGACTCGCGTGAAGTTGGCCCCACCATAATGAGCACAAATTATAAAAACATATCCATAATTTAGTGTTGAATTTGTGCTTCTCAAAAGTATATATAAAAAAATTTGTGCTCAACAATAACACACCAAAATATTTTAAAAACTGTTGGCGGGGCTAACTTCACGTTCAGCCCGCCACCAAAGGGTTTAACAATGTATTATACATAAAAATTTTGTGCTCATTTTGTGCTACAACAATATATAGTTTTTATATTTTGTGCTCTAAAAACAAACGAGTAAATGAGGAAAAACTGCCGCTGGTGATCGACGTTATCTGCCCCGCCACATTGAGCAAATCGGTTGAAAATGGTGTCACGATTTAGTGCTCATTTTGTGCTACAACAATATATAGTCTTTATAATTTGTGATGTAAAACCACCTGAGTAAATGCGGAAAAACTGCCCCCGGTGATGACGTCATCCGCCCCACCACATTGAGAAAATCGGTTGAAAATAGTCGCTTTTAGATTAAATTTATACAGTATTCAGGGTGTTTTATTTAACTGTGCCACCATCAGGATTTTGTAAACAATACATCATACAGTAAACTAAAATATTTTTTTACTAAAAATATTTTTTATCATTTGTGCTCATTATGATGGGGCCAACTTCAGCGAGTTAGTTTTTGTTTTACAGACAATCAGTTGGCTATGTTGCGTGATTTGATTTATGGATTTAACTAACCTTTTTTTACGTGATGATTGGGGTGGCGTTTGGTTGGTATGGTATGGGTGGTATTTGATGATGATAACCTAATATTCGTTTTGCTATGTCATTGAAGTTACAGATCCAAGTTAATATTACTATTGTAAATTTTGAAATTAATTTATAGTTTGAGTTTTTTTAACGCCAGTTAAATGGAGCTGCAATGTAGTAAAAGAGGTACAATCTGCTTATAAAGTGATTTGCAATAAGCAGTGTAATACTGTAATTGTCTATAATATTTAAATCTAGGTTATCAGCTCTGGCTGAGGTTTACTTACAGATTAGCAATTTTATTTGGGTATAAATACTATATTTTGACTTCTAAGCTAAAGCTATTGCAGTCATGTTTATTAGATATTTTACATTATAAGAGTGTGGTTTGGAAGTTTCTTCGAGTACAGTTTCTGTACAGTTCTGGGCTATGCTAATATCAATCAATATGTTTTGGAAATAGGCATGGCCTGATACATTTGTGGATCAACCAAGAACCAATAAACTCTAGATGATGTTGAGTCCTAAAGGGAGTAAAAAGTATGAAGAATATGATACGTCGGAGAAAAAAGAAGGCAAAGAAGAAGCAATGTGGTTTGGAAACCTGTAACCTTAGTCAAGTTTCTCAATCCAGGTCATCATCTTTAAATATGTAAGTTTTTCATCACATCAACAGTAGGTTTACACTATGGACACACTTATGTCTTATAATCCCTTTAAAATATTTGATGGAAAGTAAATAAAAGAAACGTTTATAACACTTTAAACATATATTTACGCTTATACTGTTACTCACATGACGGTTAATATATTAAAAAGATGGTTAAGTGGTGATCGATTTTGATTGGACACTCCAATCATCATCAGACCCAATAGGCGAATGACAAGAATCTTGAATGGCGTCCCTACTTATACCCTATTGGCTACCGGAAACACTGGCCAATAATTTTTTATAAGTACAACTGGAATCGAAATTTACTTGTTCATTAATCAACTTATCTCTATTTTTAAATTTTTCCTTATAAATATACAATTCTTCCCAAGCATTCATTACATAATCTTTGTTACAATTCTTTAAAATATCTAGACTATCCTCCATTTTTCCTAGTGAGTGGCCATTTTGTAACGGATGTTGTGCGACATTTGATCTTTCCGGTTTGTTGTTCTCCACGCAGACATGTGGTTTTTGAAGCGGTTAACGAAGAAGATGAACATCCTAAATTCCAAAGCGCCCGTGATGAAAGGGATCCCGAAAATACACAAGAAGAATGTACTCATCAGACCCTTAGGTAGTTAACTTTAAATGTGCTCCTACCTACAATGTTTCAAAATTATTAGCAAGTAAGCTAAGCAATGATTTAGAATTAGAATACATATAGCCAACAATGTAAAGAATAGTCATGCATTTGTTGAACGTGTAATGAACATAGATATAGATTTGGATAGTAGGCTTGTCTCATTTGATAGTCTATCGCAAATCTGTACACCAACATACCTGTATCTGACACTGTAGATCTTGTTAAATGTAGGCTTTTACAGAATAGCTTAGACAATTTGAATATGTCAATCAGATTGTAAAATTGCTTGTGACTGTTTTGAAACAAAATTATTTTAGATTTAACAATAGATTTTACGAACAAACAGATGGTTTAGCTATGGGAAGTCCACTTTCGGCAATTTTGTCAGAAATATTTTTACAGCATCAGGAAAAAGAAATGTTTAAGATTTTAAGAAAGAATCATGATGTAAAACTGTAGGCTATGTTAGATATGTAGACAACATTCTTGTTATCTTCAGACAAGCCCAGGGGCAAGAGCACGAAACGATGATGCAGACACTAAACAGCCACCATTCGAACCTCACCTTTACCAACGAATTTGAAGAAAACAAACTTCCTGGACCTCACATTAGGGAGAAAAGACAGCAAGATCGAGTTCGAAATCTACAGAAAACCTACGCAAACGGACACTACAATCAACAGCAAGTCTATCCATCCGACAATCCACAAGATCGCAGCCTTTAGATCCATGCTATACCGAGCCTATAAGATACCACTATATCTGACAACATAGCTTGGCTTAGCCAAGCCAATAGGAAAAGAACTGGACACCTAAGAAGATCCCTCAAGTTAATTAAGAAGATTTCTTCCGGTAGCCAATAGGGTATAAGTAGGGACGCCATTCAAGATTCTTGTCATTCGCCTATTGGGTCTGATAATGATTGGAGTGTCCAATCGAAATCGATAACCACTTACCATCTTTTTTATATATTTACTGTCTTGTGAGTAACTGTATAAGCGTAAATATAGCCTATGTTTTAAGTGTTATAAGACGTTTCTTTTACTTACTTTCCGTAAATTTAATAACATGTACAATGCTGATCAAGAAGTTATTTAAATATTTGATAAATTGCTGAAACCGGAGTAAGATAGCCACAGGGGACACTAATTACATTTATCCCCCCCTAAGTAGCGACGAAATCATTGGTATCAAAAGTGTTATTTTCCTAAAATTCACTAAGCTAAGCTATTGACAGGGGCTGTGGTATAAATTTGCACCATGTCCTCTATGAACCGAACCATACTGTTCTAAACAACTTTGCTCGATGGTATCACAAGCAACCTTAATAATGATGACAATAATAGGTTTTTTACATACCTCCATCAAATAGTCCAAAATTAATTGCTCATCACCTTACATGTTTCAAGACAACATTTTCAAAGCTTGCAACTCGTCAAAAACACATTTATAACACAGACGACACGACCACTATAAAAACATTAAAATGGAAAGAAATACACAATAAACATTTAGATACAGTAGCGCTATCATGATACTGAT